GGATCCCAAATTACATGAGCAATAGGTCTTACATGTAAAGGGTCATGTACCCATGATTCAAAATTTCCTTGCCAAGCTACATGAAAGAGATTTCCGGAAGTCCACAAAAAAATTATTGCTAATTGACCGATGTGAGAAGCAAAAATATTCTGATAAAGACGTTCCTCGGTAATATCATCATGACTCTCGAAGTCATGCGCGGTAGCAATACAAAACCAAATACGACGAGTAGTGGTGTCCTGAGCTTAGCCCTGGCTAAACCTTGTAAATCTGAATGCCATAATGCCTTTCAAATCCTCCTAGCCATTATCCTACTACAATAATTCTTGCTAAGAAGAACGCCCATGTTGTGGCAATTCCACCCAGAAGGTAATGGGTTACTCCTATAGCACGTCCTTGTACAATGCTTAAGGCTCTCGGCTGGGTAGCAAGAGTAACTTTTAATTTATTATTAGACCAAACGATGGATTCAATAAGTTCTTGCCAATAACCATGTCCACTGAATAAAAACATCAAACTAAAAGCCCATACAAAATGATCACCTAGGAAAAAAGGCCATATAAGGATAATGAAGAACCATAAGACTGAATTACCTAAGATGCATGTGCCCATAAGAAATCACGGAGCCACCCATTAATAGTAATAGAAATCTGCGCAAAGTTTCCTCCCGTGATATGAGTTACTTATCCTTGATCGCTTATACTGCCCCAAATATCTGACTGCGTTTTCGAACTAAAATGAAATATAACTACTGGAATTGAATTGTATATCCAGAATAGTCCTAAGAAAACATGATCCCAAGCTGATACTTGACATGCCCCCCCTTCCAGGCCCATCATAAGGAAAACGAAAACCAAGATTTGCTTTATCAGGTATCAAACGGGAGCTACGAGCAAATAGAACACCTTTCAGAAGTATCAATACCGTCACATGAATCATAAATGCATGAAAGTGATGTACCAAAAAATCCATTCCTAATGGAATAGGAACAAAAGCTACCTTGCTGCCCCGGCTAGAAAAATCACCCCCCCCAAGTTAAACTGGTACTTGCTGTTGCACCAGGAGCCGTTGCATCAGGTTCTAAAAAGAGGTTGTTTTGTATCCATTGAGCAAAGACGAGTTGTATTTGGATAGCGATATCTGAAAACATATATTAAGGACACCCTAAATCGTTCATGGTATCATTATGAATATACAAACCAAACCGTGAAAGCCTAGAAATATACATGCCCAGTTGAGATTGTTGGATTTGGTGTCAAAACCCATAACTATAACTTGTATGTACTCCCCATAGTAGCATGGTCCTTTTGGGTTGCCTTCACCAGTGCAATTAGATAGGATGTTTTTATGAGAATAAGGTTATTTATGATTTATTAATATTTTATAAGTATAATATATTAATATGGTTATTTAATTAGTATTGTCCAATAATTAATTTGTATTATTTTTGTGGTAAAAAGAGACTAATTAAATATGGAGGGATAGATTATGTAAATCAATGATACATATAGTATGGGCTAAGTGATCCATGATTATGTAAGTGGGCTAAACCAATAATATAACCCATAGATAGTCCATGGAGGTTAAACCCATGGATCATTGGAACGTGGAAAGTCATGGATCATTAGGGTTTGCAAAGTGTAACCCTAGCACTTGCCACAACTATAAATTGCCCCCTCCATGTACCAAAATCGGTTGCACCAACCATAGAGACAAGTAGCTTATTCTCTTAGAACCTCCTCTTGCATATTGGTGTTTGTGAACCATTAGAGGCATCACACTTGAGGTGCTCAAGTTTCGAAAGGTCAAGAACTCTACCCTACTCAAGAGGTAAGCATCCTAACTATGTTTGGAGTATATATAGCTTCAATTGTATGCTAGCTAGGGTGAATGCTTTGGAAAAAGAAAATGCATGTATAATTAGAAAAACATAGATCCAAAGCAGTTAGGGTTGTATGTGCACTTTGGAAGTGTTATAGTGCTCAAAACCGAACAGTGGTATCAGAGCCTAGGGTTGTTTTCAATTATACTTGATGCTACTTGCTGTTAAATGCTTTAAAAATCAATTTTTTGGTTGTCCGGATAGTGGACTCGCTGAGTCCACTGATGGACCTCACTCGCCGAGTCCACACACAAATGCAACCAACTTGCCGAGTTTGTTCTTGCACTCGACGATTTGGTGCTCCAGAGAGCAGTTTTTCGACTTTTAAGGCTGGAATTGGACTATGATCATTACCCTAAACTGTTTTGGGACTTATAAACATGTTTTTGATGTGGTAATGATCATGCTTATCCAATTTAGAAGATAATTGTCAAAGTTTCATGTTTTGTATTTGTTTATATGATTATGCTAATTACATGAAATTTGTTTGATATGAATTATCTTGTTTATATGAGTTTAATCTAGATCATGGACATTATTTGACATGCTTGTTAGTTTATTTGATGATCTTTGTGGCCTTTAATGTACTCCATAACTTGTCCTCAAGTTATGGAAAATGAAAAGTTTTTCTTTTAAAAATATCATTAAAATCATAGGTTATGTATTTGAAGAGTCTTTTTCCCATTAATGGTTTTATGAACTCCATAACTTGTCCTCAAGTTATTGATTTCCAAGAGTCTTTTCATTAAAGCCTATATTAAACTCATATGTTATGGATTCCAAAAGCTTCTTGAATAGTTCAAAACTTGCCCTCAAGTTTTAGAATTTGTAAAGTCTCACCTTTGAATACTTTAATTCCAAATAAAACCCTAGAGTTTTAAAAAGTTAAAATTCTACAAAAAAATTCTACCCTTATACTATATAATATTAAAGTTTATACTTATGTATAATGTATAAGACAAGTCAGTCTTACCGTTAGTAGGCCTCATTCACGAAGCCGGTCTATAAGGGGGTATAAGGTTATTGCCTTTAAAATGGCAGTTTAATGGGTGTCCACTCTCACCCACCGTTTCCTTGACTGGTGGAGGGTCGTTAGCCGAACGGGTAGGATAGGACATTAATTCTCCCTCTTTAAAAGTATAATGATAAAAAAATTAAGTAACTAAACTTTTATTAAATACGCAATCTTAGTTTCTTTAGGAAAATGTGAAAATGGTGCTAACCCATGAAATTGCACTTTGCACCTTGTTAAGTCGTTAGTGGAGCGTGTGTGGTTAACCGGCACACTAATCTGGGACTGACAATGTGTGGCATAGGGTAGCTTGATGTTAATCATAGATCAATGGAGCGTGTATGGTTAACCGACACATTGATTAGGTGATCTGTAACATTGGGTGTACCAAGCTAAGTTACATGGTTATCCACACCTTGTTTGTGATCCTCGGCATCCCAGTCATACACTTGAAGGGCACACTTGAGATTTAAACATGCCATTGAAAAGTTCAATGAATCTCAAAGATCTAGGAGTTTCAAACCAATTAAAACATAATAATCTATTTCGTTTTCCATGGTGGAAATTGGTAAATCGTCATTTACCTACCTTCAAATATTTTACAATTGGATTACGGCATCCCTCTTCGCAATTATAGAGAATTGTGTTGGGTCCTAGCCTTAATATTTCGGTTTGGGTGTTATATTAAGGACTTAAATCAACTAACTTGAATTTCTCCCTTGTAGATGTCTAGTTCAGAAAACTATGGTCTTCCCGAATCTGTTGGAAAAAGCTTTCCACATGAAGTTGATGTTCCACAATATCATGCTTCACTTCCTCCACCTCCTCCACTCATTCTCCTCCAACCCACAAGTTCAAAGACTTGAAAAGTTCAAGGTCACTCAAGCCCTACTTGAAATGAAACATCGAGATGGAAGGTCTGTGTATACTCACGTCTTGGAGATGAAGTCACATATTGACAGGCTGAGAGTATTGGGTGTCGTTGTCTCGAGGAAGTTGGTTGTTGACTGGGTTCTTCAATCACTTCCTGAGTCATATAGTGAGTTCACTAAAGATTACTATATGACAGATCGCGGCATGACCCTTATCGATCTTATCTATTTGCTAATTGCAGCTGAATCAGCAATGATTTGGCGCAATGGTAAAGCAAACTTGATTGGAAGATCTTCTCCCCAAACTTCAATGGACACTAACAATGGAAACATTGAAAGTCCAGAAAAGTCTTCTCTTCCCAATGGAAAGGGATGGGCCATTGTCAACCCAGTTGACCAAATGGTAAAGAGAAAGGCTAAGTCTGAGATTGTTCCGTGTACCATTCCAAAAGAATCTATTTGCTTTTATTGCCAAGAGAAGGTTCATTGGTAGCGAAGCTGCCCAGACTACCTGAAAGATCTAAAAGAAGGTAAAATCAAAAAGTTTGACTCTACTTCAGGTAAGTCCACTTTCTAACTCTATTAAGTTCCTATTTGGAGATTCTTAATACATGATGTGACAGGGTCACATTTTGATGTTTTGTAGGATCGAAGAAAAGAAAGGAAATTAAAGGGAAGAGCCATCTGAATCTGATCGC